CTGTTCGTAGTCTTTTCAAATCTGTTTCTACTCAGCGTTGTCCCTTCCTCCTTCACTCATATGATGAACACGTTATAGGAGGAGACTTACTGAATTCCTTCTTGCTTGGCCACAGTTTACAAAACTGTTTGTTATCTTAAATACTTTATTAAGACTTAAGAAACAAGCTTTAAATCCTAATTGGTGTTGAGGCCTTTCTTTACCAAAAGTGTAATATTTTATGTCCCTTTGAAATGATTACATTTTTTCCTAAGAAAGAATCACTCTTCCCTGTCCATGGGCCTCTAAGGGGGGCATATAGAACTGTTCTAAAGTGGGGCGATGGTGGCCGTCAGTGACGGTTCTCCTGGAAGAGGGCATACGTGTTGGTCACTACCCCTAATGCTGCAGCACATTCGATCCATCGTCTCCTCTCCAGTTTATTTCTTAAAGAGTACAGGGGTGATTGATTTTTTCTTTTCACTGATGTAAAATACTCAAAATTTCAAAATATATGGCACGTTTATTATCTCTAACCCAAGGGCATAGGTTCTATAGAGTCCTACAATTCTACATTTTCTATTGTTATCAACATTTAATAAGTCTTCTCTTGCCAGACAAAAGGAAGTTTACCAAAGTCTTTATCAAGACATGCATGCTGAGTTTTGACAGGAGGCTTTTTGTAAAGTAGAAATATGAAGTTATTAATAAAACTGGAAATGGCTGTTCTGTTTGGAACCACTGGGCATCCAAAGAGAAGTCCACTTGGACAAAGCAGCAACAACCCAGCCCAACACCGTTACTTCCCTTGTTGGTATAACTTTAACATAGATGGAATTCCCGTATAATCTGAAGAACGTTTTGAACTATTTAGATGCCCTCCTTTGGGATTTAAGAATGATGACACTTCTGCAACTAATGACGTGCTACCAAGGTTTTTCACACAAGGAGAACTGTAACTCAGAGTTCAGTATGAAGTTTCTCTTCCAGGTATAGATTCCTGAGATACCAGAGACATACAGTATGCTCAATTCTTTAAAAGAAAGTTGAGAAGATGTTAGGTCTTCATGGGACTCAGCCTAACCTTCAGAACATTGGCTTAGCCTAAATGAAATCTTTCCAACAATGTATCCTAAACCTTTACATGCCACATTCAAGCCTTCTAGACTTGTCAAAACAAATCGTCCATCTGTCATCTAAAAATTTAGTAGAGACCAGCTGGCTTTTTAAAAATAAACAAGCATAAGATTGTTTACTAAGTCTGAGAGTCTGTTTCTGTTTTGTAGATGAGTTCGTAGTGTCTTTTTTTTTAGATTCCACATATGAGTGATATCATATGGTATTTTTCTTTCTCTTTCTGAAAAATAAAAGGAAAAAAAAGAAAATGAAAAAAACAAGCATTTAATTAGTAAGATACTGGCATAAGTTTGTATTGGATTTCTTGTCTAGCTTAACATTAAAAATAAAAAAGAAGCTAGATTGGTATTAAGGCAGCAGCATGCAAGAACCTGGCAGGCATGATGCTGAGTGAAATAAGCTAGACAGAGTAAGATAGATACTGCATGGTATCACTTATATGTGGGATCTGGAAAAAAAAAAGTCGAACTTAAACAGAATACATTAGTGGTTGCTACGGGCAGGTGGATGGGGGAGAAGAGAAGAGTTTGGTAAAAGGGTACAGACTTTCAGTTATAAAATGAATAAGGGCTGAGCATCTAATGTATGACATGGTGACTGTGATTGATAATACTATATTGCATAATTGAAGTTTGCTAAGAGAGTAGAATCAAAGTGTTCTCCCCAAACAAAAGAGGCAAATACTCGAGGTGATGGATATGTTAATTAACTCTGTAGTGGGAATTCTTTCATAATGTATACATATGTCAAATCATCAGGTTGCACACTTTACATATACCTATAATTTCATTGGTCAGTTGTACCTCAATAAAGCTGAAAGTAAAAGAATGACTAAATTTTGCATTTTTTAACAGGTTATATCAATCAGTGAAAATCCTGTATTCGTTCGGCATCTTTGTGACATATTCAATTCAGTTCTATGTTCCAGCAGAAATAATCATCCCTGTGATCACATCCAAATTTCATGCTAAATGGAAGCAAATCTGTGAATTTGCAATAAGGTCCTTCTTGGTTACTCTTACTTGTAAGTATCAATACATATTTAGATCACAATGATTTTTTTATTGTTGGATTTCTTGTAATAAGTTACTTAATACGTATTTTTTGTATTTTTTAAAACAATTTTGTTCATGAAGCTAGGATCCATTTTGCTTTAAAATTCTGTTATTCTGCTGCCATAGAAGAAAAACACAAACCGGACCCTATCACACTTAAAACAACTAATCAGATTATTACCCTGGAAATGACATCACTCGTGACTGAAATATAAGTATATTTAGATGCATAAGAGATGCATGTGTCAGATGGGTAAGAGACCCCTTATTATGTTGTTGATACACACTTTACTTTGGTTTTCTGGTTTGCTCAGGTTTTTTATGTCTGCTCACTTTTGTGTATTTAACAGTTTAACTCTTCATAATTGCCTGGAAGGATGGGTTTTGTTTGGCTTTGGTCTCTAATGATTTTGGTGGCTTATTTTACTTATTATTTGAAGGAGTGTATATAATCTCTTACTTAAGTTTCACATTATAAAATGTCTCCAAAAAGTAGAATGAATAATGGAGACTTGTGGAGAGGGAGCTTGAGTGTGATATAGCAGAAGAAGAGTGACTTTTAGAGTCACACTGACCTGACGGTTCAAAGTCAAGCCTGCCGCCTACTTGCTGGTGTCATTAGGTAAGGTACGTACCATCTCTGAGCTCCTCTTT